CATTTGGCCTTTAAGTGATTGATGTATGCCAAACCTAACAACACTTGTAGCTAGAGTCTAACCAATATAGTTCAAATGGAGGAAAATGCAATCACCATTTTACCATTTCTCTTTTTTAGTGCTAAAGGAACTCATCCTCAGAAAAATACATCTCCACAGAACTTAAAACTTTTTTTTTAATTTCTAAATTGGAGTTCTACAATTTTCATATAATGTAATTTGATGGTTTTTAGATCCCCTCCCCCATCTGCACCTCCCCCTTACTTCCCCCAGCCCAATTTAATGTACTCTATTATAAACACACACACACACACACACACACACACACAATAGGGCACAGAGTCTGATTTGTGTTCCTCAATTGTGTCCTTCATTGTGGTGGGGGGGGTCTATCCCCTGGAGCCTTGTTAACCTATCAGGAGTTCCACCCCTGTAAGACAGTGTCTCTCTTCATTTCAGCAGCCATCAGCTGCCAAAATTTCCTAATGTTAAACTGGGATTTCTTACCCCCTTCCCCATATCTGTGCTGGAATTTTGCCTGGTTTGAGCTTGCATGTCTCCCCAGAGTCTTTTTTTTTTTTTAGAGTATTTTTTATAAGAGTATTTCTTTTTTATTACTTATTAGTTTTATTTTATGTGTATGCGTGTATCATCTGCATGTAGGTAAGTGCACCCATGTCATGCAATGCCCTTGGAGGACAGAAGAGGCTGTCAGATCCCCTGGAACTGGAGTTACGGACAGTTGTTAGCTGCCATGTGGGTGCTGGGATTAAAACCTGGGTCTTCTGCAAGAACAACCAGTGTTCTTAATGCTGAGCCATCTCTCCAGCCCCATCTCCCCCAAATCTTAATTGCAGAAATTTATCTTTAACCATGGTTCTGTGCTAATTGTGTCATAAGAATTGCTTTATTTTTAATGAAAAACTTGTTTGACAAGTTCCATACATTTATATAATGAACTGTAGTCATTCCCTTTTCATTGTCCCTTTTCTTTCCTGCTGAAATCCCTCTTCCTAACGTACCCCTCCCACCTTCTAACTAGAGCTTTTTGCCTGAGTGTTGGTGTGATGCTATTAACTTGAGTAAGGGCAACTTATCAGTGGCTCTATTGAAGGAAATGGCAACCTCCCCCAACACCCCCAACAACTGTTCACTGCCTAAATGTCCTCAAGGAGTGGTAGGACCTCATATGACCCTCCCCCATCCAAGTTGAAATGTTGGCAGGGCCAATCATATTCAGTTCTGGTGCTAATAATCACAGTTGTAGGGAGTACATGACTACAGTGGTTATGTTATGTGCAGAAGACTTTTTTTTTTTCTATACATCTCCCCATCCTCTGGCTCTAAAAAATCTTGCCACCCCCTCTTCAGCAATGCTCCCTGATCCTTGGAGGGGGTGATACAGCCATTTCATTTAGGACAAGGATTTCTTTTGATTCTTCAGTTGACAACCTATGAAACAAATTCACTCTGTTGTTTTTACTTATAAGCCTGTGATGGACTTCCTTCCTGAAAGCCTTGCTTAAATTTGTTGGAGGTCTGCATTGTATTCTCATTGCCTTGCTCAGTGGGAGAGATAAAAATTCTTTGCTTAAAGATTCTTGCTGTTTTCAGGAAAACTAGATAAAAAGACAAACCAGCGGGCCTGGAGAGATAGCTCAGTAGTTAAGAGCACTGGCTGCTCTTGTAGAGGTCCCAGGTTTGATTCCCAGTACCCACATGGCAGCTAACAACCATCCATAACTCCAGCTCCACGGGATCCAACGTCCTCTTCTGACCTCCACGAGTACTGCACAACATGGGTGCACTTACACACACGTAAGCAATATACTCATACACATAAAATAATAAAAAAATTAATAAAAGACAAACCAGCATGGATTGGTGGACTCTACAATCTAATTAGTAATCCAATTTCTATGTACAAAGATAATATATTCACCACAGTGTGCCCACCTTTCTGACACATACATCAAATACCTTGTAAATACATTCTGTTATTGAAAGACATAACAATGTCTCAAAATGTTTGTATTTTGCTTCTCAAGGTGCTGGGGGTGCATGATAGACAAATGCTGTGCCACTGAGCTACGAAGCCCCACCCTCAGATGAGGTTTAGTATGATGAATCTATATTACACAAGATGACCCAGCTTGTACACTTACTCCAGTGGTTCTGGAAGATACATCTGAATTTATACATTCTGTGCTATGTTTAGTTTAGTGGAATTACAACTAGTACAGTCTTGTGTTCCAAAACATTTTTACTTATTTCTTGGCAGTTCAGTTTTTCATCTTTTATCACAGTTTTCTTTTAAACACATCTTAGAGAGTTAACCATCCAACATACTTCTGATCAGTGCTAAGCAATTTTTTTCATACATGTGGGGCTGCTAAGAGTATCTTACATCCAAGAAGGACATCTCTATATGCTAAGGAATTACATATAGTGATTCCCCTGTATCTGTTTAATCAGTCAGGCTGCGGACAATATTTTCACTTTCCATGTGGGAAAATAAGTGATTTTTGTTGCTTCTATAGCACTCCCCAATGTTTGCAGGAGACAACAGGTCTGCCAGTGCTCCGGGGGCGGTGTGGCAGCTCAGAGGTGACAGCCACAGCTTCTACCCATCATTTAATTTAACCAGTGTGTTTCTTGGTGGGGTTAGTACTGCTTGCTGACAGTATATCATTTTATTCATTATGCTTTGGAGAGTAATTACGGTTGTTACACATATTTGGAAACTGATCCATGTAGTGTTCAAAAAAAGAAATTAAGACCATGCACAATTACGTTTTTAAAATTAAAAGTTAATTAAAAAAATGTGACACTGAGGACCTTTCTGAAGGTTCAGCACATTAAACATGTAGAGTGTTTTAAAGCGTGGAAAACACACAGCTCTCCTTACACTGCTCCACAGCTGTCATTTGTTTCCTTTTGGTATTCGCGTGATTGCTGCTCCGAGCTAGCTGCGCACATTTCCTCCCAGCTCAGCTCTGATGAGTCATGCCAAGATGACTCTTCCATCACATTAAGAGTCACAAATTTTATGGCTACAGTTTCCATGGCTAAAACCATGTTTAGCTACTTTAGGGTTTTATTAATATTAAAATTAAGCATAAAGCATCCTAATTGGACTGTTAGTAGAGGAGCCACATTACAAAATGCGCGTGATCGTGATCTGTGAAACTCTTCTACGCAAGCATTAAATTCCACTTTCAGCTTTCATTTGAGTGAAATGAAAAGCAGAAATTTCATTTCTACTAATTGGAAAAAAGTATAATTATAGATGCAATTGTTTTTATTTAGCATAAACTTTGTTCTTTCTTTAACATTAATCAGAATGCAATATTACAGACAGGATTTTTCTTTAGGTCAGATGGCAAAATATGGTAAATAAGGAGAGCAGACTGTTTAAGTAAGATAATAAACACTTGGTTGGAAACATATTTAACCAAAGAATACATGTGAGAAGTAACCAGCTCCCAATGACATGGCATTTTCTATGTCTGAAGACATGGAAAAAAAAGACTTCATGTATTTGCTTAAGGATTATATTATGACCTTCAGTCGCCATCTTTCCCCCCAAATTCCACCACAGTTAGTTGTTCATTCTCAAAGTAAAAAGTGCTGCGGTAGTAACTTTATACAAAAAAACCCTGTGTCACAGTTGTCTTTTTAAGTAAAAAAAATGTGTTATTTAAAGTATGCACCATTTTTTTTCTGGGAACATCAAGGAGATTAATAAATTTATTTGCAAATGGCCATTGGTTTGTAAATATTATGTTCAAACATTTTGAATATGAGAAAATTCTAAGTTGCATCTGAGTATCTTCATTTATATCTGTAGAAAATTCAAACTTTGGCTTGAATTTGAAAGCCATACTGTGAACTCCTTATAGCTTATGTATCCATAGCTCACATAGATCCTACTATTTACATTAATCCAAAATGTCTTTAACTTACAAAATGGCTTGACTATATATGAAATACATCAGCAGAGCACATTTCCTTATATATAAAAACAGTGCAGCACATATGGATATACCTGTCAGCATTTTTGGTGGAATCTATATGATCTATCAAGTTCAGTATCAGTCTGCTTTTGTCTCTTCTCTGTTTCTTTTCTGGTCTATGGAAAATCTGTGCTTACTGGTCCAGATTTCAAGGCTTTGATAATATGTATAGGCTTCTGAACAAGTAGACAAAGACCTTGATCTCCCTGATACCAAACCTAGCAAGAAAAGTAAAAGTGAAGCTTCTAAACTGCTTTTACTCTGATATACATTTTACTTAACCTTAACTTTTTCATGAGTAGCCATAAAACAAAACTCTGGGATAAGGAGTACAGAAAACTGTCTAGAAAAGATTTTTTTCACATCAGATTTGTTTATGGATCTATCATATCAAATCTGTTTATTATCTATGTATGTATGCATGTATCTATCATCTATCTATAATCTATCTATATCTATCATCTATCTATCAATCATCTATCTATCATCTATCTACCTTCTATCTTTTATTTATCATCTATTAGTCATCCATCCATCCATCCATGCATCATTGTACTGGGGATTTGACACCAGAGCCTTGAGTATGTTTGACAAACAAGTGCCGCTGAGCTACATCTCCAGTCTATCCAATCTTCTTTATACCATCATCTTTGGGTTTCTCACCTTTGACACTTTGCCAAGAGAAAAGAAAGGGTCACAATTGAGTAGGAGGGTTAAGCACTCCACTTGCCCTTTCCTAGTTCAGGCCGAACTACAAAGTACTTGGATTCAAACAGGATGAACGTGAGAAAGTTTTAAATCTCATTTGAATCTAATCAGTTTTGACCAACACTTGGCAACAGATCCATTTCTCATTACAGAATGCAGAATGCTCCCTTCTCCCCTGGGAAGACAGTTCCACTTAGTTTAGAACCCATGAAGGCCAGCAGTGAGCCCTCACTAATTCCCTTTAAAAGGAGAATCCCCTGTGCTGTAAGAACTTACGAGGGCTCCTCTGACACTGCAGCTCCTTCTTCTAGCTCCTGGGCTTGCTTGAACCATGGCAGCTTGGCCTCTACTGGAAGTTTCTCTGAGAATAAGTGTAGGCAGAAGAGAAGAGGTTAGAACCCACCTAGGAGCTCAGGGCAGCTTTTTCTTCATTCTCGTCACCAGTTTTAATTTTGCAGTTATCTTAGAAGTTATGTTGATAAATGCGAGTAATTAGTGTTAAGGCAAATTGCTGTCAACTCTAGTGATTTTATTAAGAAAACTATCAATAGATTTTAAGAAGGAATAACACACTAGTGTCTGTGCATATTTTCCTTGTTTATGCAAAGTCCTTTTATTATGAAAGCCCCTACTCTAGAAGCACAGCAAACATAATCAACTAAGATCTTTCACACCTTTTAAAATAAACATAAAGTACAATAAACTATATTGTAATTTTTCATAATTGTTTTGTCTTTTGGCTAAGTATGGTCTATGCTGCATTATCAAAACCAAACAAACTCTACCCTGAAATTTGTAAAACAATGCTTTAAATTTCTGAGTTATTCAGTACCACCCCCAAGGTTCAGTGACAGTGGAAATATGTACAATGAAAGGTCTATAAACCACAATTTGGTTTGTTTTACCCATTCATCTGCTTTGGCCAAACCAGGGAAATGTGGAGGAAAACAAGAAATAGGGAGGTTCTAACTGCTCCTATAGAAGTAACTGCCAAGATTCCCATTTCTGACATATTTATTAAGGTCATTTACGGGCATATTTCCCTTTATAGTATGAGCCAGTGAAGCTATATCACCATTTTATAACACATAATTACAAAGATAAAAGAAATATGTCCACATATGCAAGCACCATAGAATTATGTAGTATTTTAATGATGCTTACAGATTTAGGTTTGATACTTGGCCATGAAAGTCAAGATTTTATTCTTGATGGTTAACTATGGACTCATTCCTCCCTGCCCCCCGAGCTACCTGGTAAAGACAGAGCTAATAAATAATTGGCTATTTTTAGTTTGGGTTATCTCCACTTATTTTCTGTATGCATCTATTTTTTGTAGTTGGACACATACTAACACATGTGCAGCTGCCAAAACAAAATGATATAAGTCAAAGCAGCAGGATTTGCACATGTATCTTTTTATAATTCCATCATCCCCCAGTAAATGACTCAGTCACTGTAACTGCTCAAATTGATAGTAGGTGGCTTATAATGCTTTACTACTGACTTGAACCTTCTACCTGTGGCTACCACATTTGATATTTGAAGACACAAATGATAGTCAAGTTAAAGGTAATATTTGTAGAAATCTTATTATATGCCATGTAGCAGGTTATGAGCCCAATTTATATCATGGTTCTTGTAACTCTCACATGACCTCTGGAGTACTATTATTTCCTGCATTTTACAGATGAGGAGAGAGAGAGAGAGAGAGAGAGAGAGAGAGAGAGAGAGAGAGATAGATCAAGACAGATATTATTAAAAATGATCAGGGGCTGGAGAAGTGGCTCGGCAATTAAGAAGCCTGCTGTTCTTGCACAAGACAGATATTATTAAAAATAATCAGGGGCTGGAGAAGTGGCTCGGCAATTAAGAAGCCTGCTGTTCTTGCAGAGGTCCCCTGAGTATTTTTCCCCAGCACCCATGCTGGGAGGCTCCCAAGTGCCTATAGTTCCAGTTCCAGGGGATCCAACACTCTTTCTGGCCTCTGTGGGCACCCACACACGTCATAGATTCACACAGATGCACAGAAACATAAATAAAAATATACTAGGAAAAAGAGCATTAAAAATAATGAGGATTTCTTGTACGTCATTTTGTTTTCCTTTTACATCTCCAAGAGTTCTTGATGCTACTCATCCCTATAGACTCCATGGCTGATGTTACTCATCCTATAGACACTCCATGGCTGATGCTACTCATCCCTATAGACTCCATGGCTGATGTTACTCATCCCTATAGACTCCATGGCTGATGCTACTCATCCTATAGACACTCCATGGCTGATGCTCATGGAAATGTGATGTCTCAAAGATGTGATATGAAGAAAGAAATGGAAGCCATTTTAACCTAGCAATGGAAAGAACTTATAATAAAGAAAAGTTTGTATCTGAATGGTTTGTGAATCCGAATCTTCCTCTTTCATTTACACATCAACAACACTGACATAGAAACAAGATCAACAGTCACACTAATCGGAGAGATGCAGTGTAATGATAACTCACCTTGCTCATTTAGCAGAATTTTTCCAAATTCTCTTAAAAATAAATTATTTCCAGCATCTATTAAATTCTGATATACTTCACAGTTTTATTTCAAATTATGTTTCTGGAATTCACTCTCATATTGTTTTAATTCTCAATATAGAAAGCAACAGTTTTCATTTCATCTGTTTGAAATCTGACTCCCCAATGTATGCCAGGTTTATCAAAGTGGAAATGCTTGAATTCACTCTTTTATTTTTTTAATAGCAAGAAAAGTGGATAGTAAGTCACACACACACACACACACACACACGCACGCACACACACATTTCTGTACAGTTTGGTTTATCTTTATAATGATAATGATATTTTTCAGCAATGATGAAGTAAGTCAGACTCAGAAAGACAAACACTTTGTTTTCTTTCATAATCACACACACACACACACACACACACACACACACACACACACTGAAAGCACATAGGGGACTATTTGGGAGAAGGAGACCAGTAGGTGGGGGCAGGAAGGGAGGATTTTGGTGGAGTGTGTAAGAACAAGATACAATAACGTATATGTTTGAAACTGTCATAACAAAAACCGTCATTTTGTACGAAAACTAAAAAAATAGTAATAGTAAAATAACATCCAGAAAGTTAAAAAAAGAATCAAGTCCATTTAATCTATTCTAAGTTAGTGAGTCACTAGTAAGAATACTTGGGATACTTAAAGACATTCCTAGGAGTTTACAAAAGCCCGAGGTGCCATCATCACTGACAACTGGTAAGGGGTTCAGTTACCTTTGGGCTTGTAGCAGGGGGTTGGTATGATGCATTCCTCTTTTATGTGGGGCTTTGTTTTCGCACTGCAGCCTCCTGTGTGCATGCCTCGGTGATCGATGCAGAGGACCACACGGTACCTGAGGCCCTGGCCACATGTCACCGTGCACTAGAAAGAGATGACGAGAGAGAGAAAAGAATCATAGGCAAAGCCCTGTTTACTTGTTTTAACTTTTACCTACATTTTTTTATGTACGAATGCTTAAAAAATGTATATAGATATAGGAGTACTCCTGGAGGATTTGAACCACTTCTTACCAGTCATTAGATCTTTGTTCTCTTTGGTTTCATAAGTAAAGTTGGTTGCAAATTAAATCACTTTCAATTTCTTGGGATCAGATTAATTAGTTAACAGTTAGTTGTACTGTGTGCAAAGACGCAAATAAACCACCAAAAAGGAGGCACAAGGCCATAGTGTGCTCGAGTTCAGCTCCCTCCTCTCCTTGAGTTACTCTGCTCCTGCCGGTCCAGAATGTGGGAAACGCTCAGTCCCACAAGGATCTTAAGAGATTTTTAAACTACCATCACAGCTAATTTATATTGCAATACAGATAATTCAACTGATCAAACTGAAATGGGAAAAAGTTATAGGAGCGGATTCAATGGGCGGATGTAGTGAGTACCTCTGATAACCACTTGGCCTGGACTATGTCTGATATAAGAAAACAACAAGCCCCCCAAAAAGCCAAGTCTCCATGAAGAAATTTTTCTTGTTGCTTTATTATTTCTGTGGACAAGGGTGTGACGGTTTAGCTCCATGACTTTCTAGCTCCTTGCCATTTCTCTTTTGTGCATAGTAAATAGGAAACTCAGAATAACTCTCTCTCTCTCTCTGTCTGTCTGTCTCTATCTGTCTCTGTCTCTCTCTCTCTCTCTCTGTGTATGTGTGTGTGTGTGTGTGTGTGTGTGTGTGTGTGTACAGCATGTACATATGCTACTGGGGACTAAAACCTAGGGTCTCCCACATGCTTGGCAAGTGCTCTATCACTGAGTCATAGCACCAACCCTTTTAAATTTTTATTTACTTTTCACTTTGAGACAGAGTCTAGCTATGTAGCCCAGACAGGTCTAAATTTGCAATCGTTTTTCCTGAATAGCTGCGATTACAGGCCTGAGCCACCCGGCCTGGCTCAGAATAGCATTTGTAAGCTCAGTCACACAACTTCCCTAATGTCTGTAGTAGTTTTGGTTGTAGTAATTCTCCTGACTCCATTTCCAGCTACTGTGCTAGTTCACTGAATCCTTTTTCTTCTTAGTGGATCTCGACATAGTTCCAGTTTTAATCTGTTTGCACCCTTTTTAGACAAGGCAAATTAAAATAAGAACTGGATTTACACTCTGATCAACTGAGCTATCTTACCAAAGTACCTTTCACAGATTCAGGTTTATTCAGCCTCTGAATAAAAAGGATTACAAATTTAGGCCTGCCTGGGCTACATAGCTAGACTCTGTTTCTCCTGGAAGGTATTTGCTTCCCCAGTGGGGAAGAGAAGGGACTTGGTTGAAGTAACTTGAGAATGACATTAAAACACATTAGTTCATGCTGGATTGAGGCATTCCTACTCCAGGAGCTAGGCTGATAGGTTCTGAGACACCTCAGGTACAGAAGGGTGGAGCTGCACAGTAGGGCCATGACGGCTAGAAGTAAGAGTGGACTTACTCTCCTAAAGAACAAAGAAAGAGGGCACAGTTACCGGAGACCACTCCTGTGCCAGCCATTTAGGGCAGTCAAAAATGTTGCAGGGCTGCACGGTGGGCATCTTAGGGGTGTACATGCATTTCCACTCTTCCACTGAAGTGACATGCCCCTGGATGTCCTCCTCCACACAGGAAACTGCCCGGCTCTGGATGCCCCCCCCACACGAGGAGGAGCACGCGGTCCATGGGGTGGCCTCCCACCTACAGAAGCAAGGGGAGTCATCAGGGGGGACATGCACAATGGCAAACCTCTTCAGTGAATGACCTGCCACACCAGCCCCAATCCCTGGGCCTATTGGGATTATTAGTTCTCAGAGGCGACAGTCCAGAGAACCAAAGTCTGGACTGCTTGAAATTTCATTAAGAGAGAAAGATTCAACCTTGACAAGAGTGCTCCTTAGCTATGAAGCTCTGCATGGATATAAGCGATTACAGTTGGGGGAGCTATTCATAGGCTATCTGGGGTGTCTATAACCTACTCAAAGACACAAGTTCAGTCTGCAGGCCTCTCCTTGTAGTTTCTACATAATACATTTATAATATAGTCCACACAATTGTATATGCGTGTGTGTGTGTGTGTGTGTGTGTGTGTATGCATGAAAGTTTATTTACTTTTCACTAAATTCCATTAAGGATCTATGTCAAGACTAAAATTGAATACTCAACTCAAAAGGTTTACATTTGGGTGGATAACTTTATTTTCAATGTTTTACTTTATTACTTCTGGAGTTAAAAAACAGGAGAAGCTCATACAAGATCGCCCTAAACAAAAGCTCTTTCTCCCTCACTTCTGCATCTGCCAGCTTTAAGATTCCACAGATTCAGCACAGTTTGGATGCACAGACTGTGCCATCCATAAGCCAAGGAACAGAGTAAGAGTATTCTCTAGCTGCTGAGAGATTTGGGCAAACTTCTTCCAAAAAGAACTCCCCGAGTTGTCCGTAGGTTTGGTTTTGGTTGAAAGGCTCATGACATCTGAATTGAGATATGCTATTAAAAAGACAGAAAATAACAGTATAGCCAATAATTTTAGAGAATTTCATCCATTTTTTGTTTCAGAGCTCTAGAGAGTTTTGTAGTCATTTGGAACCAGGTCTTTGTCCAATCCTTTTCTCTCATCCTGTGGATTTAGACACGTGGAACTTCTGCTCACGGAAGCACTGGAACGGAATAGGGTATGCCTGTCTTTCTTATATGTACTCTGTTTAGTGAGGATTTGCTAAGGATGTTTAGGGTTTCTCTTAGAATTCTGAGAAGTATAACTGTAACGAGAAAGAACCCTGGGCTGACACACTTGAACAGCTGATTTTTAAATATTTAATTTTTAATTTTTATTTTATGTGTATGAGTGTATTGCCTGCATGTATGTGAGTACACCCATGTCGTGCAATGCTGATCAGAAGAGGGCTTTGGATTCCCCTGGAACTGGAGTTAAGGACAGTGGGTGCTGGGAATCGAACCTGGGTCCTTTGCAAGATCAGTCAGTGCTCTTAACCAGTGAGCCATCTCTCCAGCCCCAACAGCTAAGTTTTAAAGCATTTCACAGGCAGCCCATGTAGACCTTAGTTATTCCAGAAGTGGGTTTCACTCATGTGGCGAACTTGATTTCTCTTCTGCAGGAGATAGAATAATGTGTGTTTCCCAGTTCAGAGGATCCCTACCATATTTTCTCTGTATCGTTTAAGTTTAGGCAACACTGTGATCTCCACTGCCAACAGCCAAGCTATGCTGCCAAATCTAGTACTTTCCTATGTTTTTGCCCCAGGAGATACATAAGAAAATGTCATTATGAGGAAGCGGAGGGTCTCTGACCCTTAGGAGAGTTTAAACATCTATTTCAAGAGAATGAAGGACTTCTGCAGTATTTTCTTTCCAAAGGGTAGAACCGATTCCAATGTTTCTGTTTTAAATCTCTGGAGGACTTCCTTCTGGAGGTGGGTAACAGGCCTGTTTCAGACTGAACATGGGCTGAGCACGTAAGTACATACGCTACGGTTAATCTGACAGTGAAGCAGCAATATTTTTAATGAATATTTAATCACTTATACTATTACACTTCTATAAAGGAATAGACTTTCTAATTGGCATTCTAAAAACCATGAAATTTAATCTCCTACAAAAGGGAGAGTGATTAATTTCTATCTCAATACTTAAGCCTGCCCATGTAATTTCACTAACAGATATAAATATCTTTTCCGATGTCAGTAATCATAGAAAGACAAATGAGGTTAATGTAACTCCACAAATTTATAGGATGGCTCAAGCTAACAAATGCAGTTCTATACGTGAAATGTTGCATGAATCATAATGTACTAATGGGGCTATGTGGAATTCTAAAGCAGAACACATGTAGGTGTGCTAAAATCTAACAAGGGCTGAGAAGACAGGATTTGTCAAGAGATAGTAAAGCTGTGTCTGGGCTGAATACTTGAAATAAAAGGTTATATATCCAGGAATCTAGTCCTTGAAGAATAGTAAATGAATTTGCATGTCATACATCTGAACTCCTTTGGCTCTTAATGATTGTAAATGCACAGTATGTTTAATTGAAGATGTTTTCAAAATTGCAAGGCTATAGTGAAGTGGCATGAGTTCACTGAGACCAAGACAGCTCATCACAGTCCATTCTTTTTTGGTCTTTTTGAGACAGGGTCTCCCTGTATCCCCAGCTGGCCTGGAACTTGCTATGTAGACCAGGCTGGCCTTGAACTCACAGAGATCCGCCTGCCTCTGCCTCTCAAGTGCTGAGATTAAAGGCATGTGCCATCATGCCTGGCTACACAGTCCATTCTTATGTCAAGATTTATGCTAAGTCAAAGGCAGAAAGTAGGAAAGAACAATCTAAAAATCCATATGTACTCCACACACACACACACACACACACACACACAGACTCACACACACTCCTGGTCTGAAACCTATTTAAATATTTTTAAATAAGTGAGGATTTCTGTCTCAATTAGTGAGGAGCTGCTATTTGAGAACCACTTTGAGCATTTATTTATTTTTTTTGTAAAAAAACATTTGTAGAAATAGCCGTGACTTATTAGGACTTTGTCAGGAAAGCAGAATTTGCACCTTTAGAGCTACTTCAAACAGAAGTGTAAGAAACAAAGTCTACTTGCTAGCTAGTCTGTTTGTTAACTGAACTGTACTTTTCTATTGAGCTGCATGGATGAATCATGAGTACCCAGGACACAATGCAAAAGCAAATAGGATCATTTCAATAATGCCACTGGATTTCAGGCACTTGAGGGAAACCTCATTCCAGAAGAAATCAAGTCTACCAGAAGACAGGCATTGCTTGTCCACAGGAAAATAAGCCAGCAAAATCACAGAAGCTGACAAGAATCTAGGAGCATCCTTCATATGAGAAACATAAACTACGTAGCTCACATAAACCCGTTTGCCTTTATTTTAAAATGTATGGCCTTCCTTCATAGAAACAAACACGTGTCCTGGGATTATTTCAGATACAGAAACTGAAGTAAAAGGAAATCTTGGCTCATTGAAATTGATTTTCTGATTCTTTTAGTACATTAAGGAGGAGAAGGCTTCTGGCAAAAAGATACTCCAGGAACATTCTGAGGTCACTGACTGTCTCTCGTATAGTTACAAGACATAGGGAGGGACCGACTAGTGAGGGGAAGGAGCTCGTCAACAGCGCTGCCTGGGATCTAGCAAATACCCCTTTATATGTTGCCACTAGAATGGTGGAAAGAGTCTGCTGCCAGTCACTGAAAATATGTGAGTAGACACTGGACACCACCACTCTCTATGTCTCATGTACATAACTGCATATGCACTTAAACATGTGTGAACACATACTCAATGTACATTCATTTATATTTGTGTGAACATGCGTGTTTATATACCTAGGTGTGTGGATGTGATTGCTGTGAAAGCACGAGGAGAGTGAGGCATTGCTGGGGAGCTGCAGAGATGAACGCAAGGGGTCTACCTAGATTCTGAAGTATTAGGAATTTGGAGATTTTCAAACAAATTTACTGAACTGTACTGTTCAAAATGCAGTTTTTTTTTCAGGGTGTGGCTTAGTTTAGGACTTAGCAAACTAAGATGATTTTAACTATTTGGTCTGATAGGAACCGAGGATTAAATAGCAGCTGACTCCCTGAGGGCCAAATAAAAAAAGAGAGCCATTTAAAGAGAAGTCTAGTTTCTGTCACCTGCAGAGCTGTTTCCTATATAGCAAGAAAATCAATTAGTAACTAGCACATTTCTCAGTAACTCTAGTTTTCTTAAGAATACATACTGAAGAAAAAATTCTTTAAAAGTTTTAAAATACCTTTATTATTCCCTAGTCTTCAAAAATATACGTAAAAGAGCAATAGAGAAATTGAGCTTGTAGTGGTGCAGAAACTTGTCCTCTAAAATATTCTGAACAACAGGGTATGAAAAAGTGCTTTGTAATTTATTATACTTTCTGCAAGATAAAAGGACATTTAAAGGTCCTCCACAGAATAATTCTACATCTGGAATTCACACTCAGGGTGGTGGGATCACACTTCAGGCAGTATTTGTTTAACAGTTAGCAACAGAGAACCCAGGAAGGAGAAACGGAGTGAAAGAAACAACATAAATCCAGACACTGTATCTAATCAGAGTGAGTTACTGTGTTCAGGACAATGAAATGTGCACCTATCAAAATGGTTCTTGATTAAGAACTGTTGTATGAAATTATAAAAGCTCAATAAAAATATAAAAACAAACAAAAATCGTTCTTGAATGACAAGCTTACAGTGTGAGCAGGCCAGATTATTCAAAAGTAGAGCTCAGGGTGAGCTGCAAAATCTACCGTCTACCATCTTATTTTTATAGAAAACAAAGACTTTATATCTTTACATATGTTTATAGATAGTAAAGCATCAGAAGACTGATTTGCTATTTCTAACATCAGGATGATTGATTTACGTACCGAGGAAGGGGATGGTAGAGGTCATAAGGCATGATCTGCTTGTATCCGTCACTGTTAGGAACAATAATGCCAACCCTCTGAGTAGAAGGTACACACAATAAAATAAACACTAAATGATCACATTATACAAAATTTTATACAATTGCAAAACAACATTCATAAATCATCTCTGCAAAGCAACACTGAAACAGTTCAATATCCCTGTGAGCACATGCTTCAGGATGGGGCTTGCTGTTTGAGGACACCATTTTCTATAATTAGTTCTCTGGTCAAAAACAGGAAATCCCACTGAAAAGGGAGGTGGCAAGAAAACTTGGCACCTCATCATTAACTATGACACAATAAGCTTGTAAATGTTCTTTAATCCCCCCCAGTTATACAGCCTATGAGGTCATTATTATCATCATCATTATTAATGCTACTTCCAGGTGCTTGCCAAGCACTTACAGTTATTGTCTCACTTTTGATGAAACAGAAAGCTATTTAAGGGGAGTATGTACCTTAGAACTGACAAGACTGTAAATAGCAGCAAATATTGCTGACTGTACATCAGCAAATAGGTTTCTCCTGGCAGTTCTAAAGATTTACTAATACCTGGAAAGTAGCCACTTGGCTGTTTTATAAAGGGGAGAGGAACTATCAAATGTTACAAGGCAACTATTAGCAATAGCAAACTCCCTACCAAAATAATACAATAGAACTGTTCATAAATATGAAAGGATTTTTTTGTCTATGAAACACTACGCCATGCTAACTGATTTACTGTAATGACTGTGATTGCGGTGGCTGTCATTAGTGCCCTGGGAAACCTGTGAGGTTTAGAAATAGAGTAAAGGGTGAAAAACTTTTAAGAGTCATTTTATGCTGTGCGGTTAAAGAATGCACGAGAATGGAGAGCAAAAGCTGTGTTGACGGTCCTTAGGTCTCCAGTACACCATGCTATCCCGCTTCCTGATTTCAACTAAAGTCTCCAATTGGTAAAACTGGGTCCTTGCTGAGGTCTGTCCCCCTGACTGGTAGAGGGTTTTTGACCCCTAGATGTTGAATAAGAGTGCTCGGGAAGCAGAGGCTCCATTAAAAGTGGGATGTGAAGAGAGCTCAGAAGACGCAGAAGGCACATGCAGAAGATGCTAATTTTTATAAGACAAGTTCTACAAAGCCCCTGTCAGGAACATTAAAGGGGTCAATCAGTGTGCTGGGTTTGTATCGCTTGGTGAATGTGTATATATTTGCATATCTCCATAACAATGTATATTTGGTATGTTTATACTTTTATTTAAATACACAGTTTCCATTTGGTCCCGTCCTCTGACACAGGATGATATCATGTTTTAAAGAATATAGCTGGCAAGTCCAAGTATTTGTGTAGAAAGTTTGGACTAGGTTTGCTGAGGATAAGAAACAGAAAATGACACTGACTGCTAATCATGAGAAGAAAGAAAGAACAGGAGACACAAAGAGGCTGCACAGGCTCTAAGGCGGTGACTTCAACTGGGGGAGATGCATGGAGGGATCTAGACTTATTTGGAAGAAAACAGAAACAAAGTTGTGAAGGCAGATTTCCCAGGATGGAAAATTTATTCACTTGGTTATTTCACATAAGAACATTTTCTGTATTTCTTTTTGACTAGCTCTTTTCTATTTATTTGTCTGATGAAATTTGCCTAGTGTGTAAATGAGTATGAATAACCGTATGTGTGTACCAGCCTTATGTAACAATGCTCTTGAAAGTGGATGCTGTTTGTGGCATGCTCAGAATCCCCAATGATCTTTAGCACAAAAATGACACGATTATTATATTGAACTTTTGCCCCTGTTGTTAGAGTTAAATGTTCTATTCTTTTCTATCTTCTTCTGATAGACAAGAAATCAGATGAAAGCTTAATTCTGGTTTTTGTTAGAAACGTGACATCTCTTTTTGCAAATTCTTTTATTTAGTAACTAAGAGAACTTTCCTTGTAAACTGACAATAATTTAAAAAATTATTTACTTTTATTTTATGTGTATTGGTGTTTTGCCTGCAGCTGTGTAAGTGTGCCTGTTTTGTGTAATGCCTGCAGAGGCCAGAAGAGGATGTCAGATCCCCTGGATCTGGATTTTCAGATGGTTGTTAGTCACCATGTGGATGCTGAGAATTGAACCCGTGTCCTCCGCAAGAGCAACCAGTGCTCTTAACTACTGAGCCATCTCTCCAGCCCCTAAAATGACAATATTTTAAAGAATGCCAATTCCTCAAAATTCTTTTCATAACTTTGGACATATATTGTTATTTAATAGAAGTCAATTAGGGTATAAATCAAACTGATTGAAGTTATGTTTACCCAATCCTCATATCTTTGTTCATGCCTATATCAATTTCTAAAAGCAGAAATGCATATCACTGCCTCTCCCCTAGAAAAAATTTATGGCTATACCTTGTCATCTTTAGTATGAGAATGAGCCGGTGCAAGTCTCTGTCAACTGATTTATCAGCTGTTGATGTGTGAAATGGAGATGGTAACACTGAACAAGACAAGTTGCACTGAGAAAAGGGAATAAATGGGTAGTACACAGAATTCAAGATGCTGGACTTTGCTTTAGACTGATTTGGAAATTATGTTTTTCTTTGAACAAGGAGTTTAAACCTGGTTTCAACAAAAGCTCGATTTGTCTTTCTGTGGCATGGGTCATGGTGAAGACTCATGGAATGACTCTAAGGCACCTGTGAAAACAGAAAGCTATCAAAACAATGGCACTCTGTCCAGTCCTCCTAATGCATATCCGTGCGCCTGTGCTCTGCCTCCTCCTGGGGCTCATGCCACAGCCCTGGTCTTTGACTGTACTGTGAAGTAGGGGAAAGGCAGTCCTGCCTAAATTTCTCATTGCTTATCTTTAAAACACATTGTTTTTGTTCCTAGGTAAAGTGTACATAATGAGGAGTGATGGACAGGAATGTCTTTTAGGGACTTGATGAAACTTTCCCCATGTTTAGTTCTAGCTTTGGATGTGTTTGTATACATAGATGCCTTCAGATGTGTGCCTGGATATGTGGGCAGGAGGGAATGAAACAGACATGATTTTCAAAATCATCCCAAAGGGAGTATATATGGGGAATCACTCATTCCCTGTTGCTGCAGCTATTGTGACTACACATGCACTTTGACCACTGAAATCTCACATCATCAGTGCCTGTGTTGGTGAGCACAGAAGTTGAGGGCAAGGTGAACCCTTCGGGGCAGTGTGGGAGATACTTCCTGCTTCATGCTCTTGGCCTAACATTTTACCAAACTGATGCTATGCTGTTATGACAGGTTCTTGTAATAAAATATTATGCATCACATTTTAATAATATAGTCACTGAACAAATTCAACATAAAATAAAATATATAATTGAATCTAAAATATAAGAACATTTATACATTCACATTTCATCTATAAAATAAATTTCAGTTTGTATATATGTGTCCATATGTGTCTACATGTACATATAAAAGTACACACACGCACACTCACACACACATATGGACTCTCGCACATATAGTAGGAAAACACCTAACATCAGTGGCTGGTTACTGGTGATTGGATATTTTTTCCTTGTTTCAAAAAATGTTTTACTGTTTTGACGGTTTTTTGAAAAAATTATTTTTTTATTTTATGTGCATGACTGTATTGCCTGTATGTATGTAAGTACACCTGTGTCATGCAATGCCTGCAGAGGTCAGAAGAGGCTGTCGGATCCCCTGGAACTGGAGTTACAGATGGTTGTTAGCCACTATGTGGGTGCTGGGAATTGAACCTGGATCCTCTGCAAGAGCAACTGGTGTTCTTAACTGCTGAGCCATCTCTCCAGCCCCCCAAGTTTTAAATTTATGTATTACTTCCAACAATCTCAGCATTTAGAACATTGAAGTATAGCAAAATTCAAATTGAAGAAAGTATAAGAAAGAAACAGTTGGAACTGAGAAAACTGAGTGAAATGAGGCCATCACCTCAGATTCCATGTGTCACTTAAAGATTGAGTCTGTGTGCAGAAATGATCTAGAACTCACCTTTTGAACAACAGTTCTGACCTTAAAAAGTCAAGCCAGAATCAGGGTCATACTACTCAACTGTGGAATTCACAGATTATGATGAATTTCTCCTTACAAGAAAAATCCTTATGTAACAAACCCCACTGGCACCTGACATATGTTTTTTTGTTTTGTTTTGTTTTGTTTTGTTTTAATAACAGAGATGAGCCATAGGGGCTGGGCTCAGTGACTGTCTCACAGCCTCCTCTCTTTACCACACATCCAGGCTTCTGACAGCTGACTTTACTTCAGGATCTTTCAGATCTGTGAGCCTCATATGATTCTCTACCTTCCCCTGCAAACTGCTCTTCCCCGTGACTGCTCTCCCTGTGCAGGGGACTGCCATGATCCCACCCACTCTACATACTCTAGGACATTTTTGCTTCTCTTTTCTATGCTCACTGTGGGCAATCAGTTATTCCAGCCACCTCCCAGCAGCAACGGTCAAGTCCACAGGTTGGCCCTTTCAGGCTAGTTTCCCACCACCTCTACCTGCAGGAGTTGGCTTCTTCCACTCAGACCTCCTGCTGTGGTCATAGTAACTGACATGTTCTCACCTCAAAAGTATTAAGTGGCCTTATAATGCCTCATAATAGTCTTAGTCTGGTACTACATTGTTTAAGGTCTTGTCTTATTTTCTCTCTTATTATCTAGCCAAACGTTCTCTCCCCTTTTCCAATCCCCATAACACTAACTATTCTCACAATTTGAAACTATTTATTAGCCTTACACTATGTACACGTTTTCATTAATTTAACATTAGGATTTGGGTCATATCCTAATGATTCTTTATTGTGTCTCCCAGGATGGTGCCCAGCACATGGACATATTCACTGAATGAAATCATGCTATTGGTATGTAGATGCAGGTAAACATTACAACCACCACCAAGGATTAAAGCAAACAGAAACAAAAGGCAAAAAGAAGGTGAAAGGAAAGGAAGTGAGGAAACTCCCAAACTCCATTTGCTCCCTGCCTTACCTATTGCTAAGCTCTCCCATT